TGATGGCAAACATCCAACTTTGGAAACTGTAAATCGAGGGAAACATCCACCTGATATTATAGCGTTCAAGGTTATTTCAATGATTGTATACTTGCGGAGTTTCCATTGCACTTGCGTATTTTTACAGTTTTGCGTGTGTTTTCATTTGTTTTGTTGGTTTCATTTTGGTTGTGGCCCTTTTAGAGTTCCAATGTCCTAGAGGTCCAAGTATGTTGTTGTTACTCCATCCGGTGCCACCTTCCTCTTGGGATAGAGGTAAGTGAACGCAGTCTTCACCTGCTGGTAGGTGTGCATGCCGTCCTCCCGCATCCGGAAGCCGCGGTTGACCCCTTCCCCGGCTTGCTGTGTCTGAAGCGTATCCAAGTATCGCCGCTTGCTGATGTTGTTGGTCCTTTTGTTGATCCCCTTGCAGCTTACCTTATCTTGGTCACCGAAGCAGTAATACGTTTTGCTGCAAAGGGCGACGATGCCGTCCCCCTCCCATTCGACTTTGAAGAGGCCAGGTGTGCGCTTGTCGAAGGCACGATGGGTAGGGGTGTCGTTGCGGGGAAACCAGGATGACTTCTCACGCTGAAACTGGTCCCGCAGATGTGGCTTGATGATGTCCTCCAATCTCTGCGCCGAAATGGCCATGTACGCAGAATCAGTGTCCATTTCGCAGAGCTGAAAATCTGCGGGATCAATGAACTTCAGGAGAAAGTCAAAGTAAAATTGGAGCATACGCAGTTTGGCATATTGGTAGACGAAGAAACCAATTTGCAACGGGAGACCCAGGCGGATGGCTTTTTTGTTGAGCTCCACCTCATATAGTTTCTCGTCCAGTGTATGGAGGGCACGGAAATTGGGCAGGTTGATGAGACGAGATGCTGCTTCATCGCTGTGTGCAACTTGAACTTGCAGGTGTTTCTCCTGGTTGGTCACCGTCTTGCCATAGGCGGAATTCCCCAGGAGCTTCATGGTGTCTGCGATGATTCCTTTAGACGGGTCGACGTCACCGTCCCTCCTGGCGTTGCTGACCGCCTCCCCGAAGGGTTGAAAACACGCTGCCTGCCCATACTGAATGAACTGGTAGATATGTGTAACGTGAAGACCATGTTGTATGTACCACCGTAACAGCGGAGAGGCTAGTAGAATACGGCGACCAAACATACTACCGATGAGGCTGCGGCGAGGTGACTTCATCAGACCTTCCCTCTCTGCATACTCCCGCATATGGTCCCCAATGTCCTCGCGGCTAATCTCGACGTTCTTGAAGATGGGCGGCATTTCTGCAAACGTCTCGCGAAGTTGGGCGGGTACCTCGATATCGCACTCCACCAGGCCGAAGAGCTCTTCGTTGACGACTGCATCCAGGATGCCACGCTGGTTGAGTGTCTTATGCTGGTGAGGCAGTCTTCTGGAACGGACAAAGTCAGCGGCGTTGGCATCTTCCTGTTGCAAGCGAGTCCATTCACATTCCCACATCTCGACCAGACTATGACCCTGGGCCCGGATGTAGGTGGATATCTCCTCAGTCTGTCGCCTCAGTTCAGCACGCGGCAGGTTCTTCACAGGGTTGAATTCTTGGGGATTCAGATGACAGCGATGCCCGTGCCAGAAACAGCCATGGAACTGGTAAACGGTATTGTTCTCTTTACAGAAGCCGTCTACTGGAATTGCCCTCGACCCCACTCGCTTTTCACCGCGGTTGAGTTGATGGCGAATGAAGAGACCATCAGTGTGTGCCACCCACTCCAACCATTCTGATGCCTTGGCTCCCCACTTGTGGCTCGGCACTGGCTTGAAGTTGTCTTCTTCTCGTCGCCTGATAAAAGTCCCGACCGGCATTGGTTGCATCAAGGACCACAGATACAAGGCGTTTGCATCAAACCCGACGATATTGGCACACTGCTGCGGTCCTCCTCGAATCTGTGTCTTCCCCCTCTCATGGTAGCGGTGGAACACTATGGACGGGCCCCCGACAATGTTCTTTTTCAGCAGGTAATACAAGTCCTTGTTGGGCTCGTCGATGAGGGAAAAGGATATGTTATCTGCGAGTGTCAAAAACAGATACTGCAAAGAGAGGCCGGGTACAGATATGGCTGTCTTGAACATGT